CGACCTCACCCGGGAGATCAACTACAGGAGCAGAGGAGCGTGGGCGTGCCTCAGGCGATATGGCCGGGAGCTCTTCGACAGACCGCAAGCGCCATTCCGACTCAAGATCCGCCTGCTCCAGGCGGAGGCGATGGAGGCACTGCTGTACGGCTGCATGACATGGTCACCACTCAGCGGCCACTATCAGACGCTGCGGTCGATACACCACCGACTGCTCCTTCGAGTTATCGGGTACAAGCGCAAGAAAGACACCTACCGGCAGCTCTCTTGCGCCCAGACGCTGAAGAAGGTCGAATGCCAGAGCGTTGAAGCCACGATCTGGCAACGACGCCTACTGTTTGCGGGAGCATTGGCAACGCAGCCGGACGGGCGACTCCCGAAACGACTGATGTTTGGCGAAATGACAGGGGCGGAGAAGCGACGTAGGAGGGGACAGGAACAGAACTGGCCGAAGTGTGTGCTCGGCGACCTGAAGGGGCCGACCACAGATCCACGAAAACCGATCCATGTTGCTTCGGATTCCCGGTACCGAAAGACACGACACCGACGTTAAAGTGGACGGAAGCCGCGAAGGTAGAGGGGGGAGTACCCTGGCATGCGGCGGTGCTGCAGGGAGCTGAGAGGTTCATGACCTCCTGGCACGAAAAGGAAGAAGAGGCCAGCTGACAATGGGCGCTCAAACGAAACCACAAGCCACCACCCAACGGGGCGGGAGGGGGGCAGGAGACGGACAAGACGGCGACGGAAGACAGCAAACGAGAAGAGACGGACCGAGTGGCGCGATACGTGCCGGATTGCATTTCTTTTAGCCAATTCCCCCCCCCCCAACGCTGCACATTGCACCAGCCCCGCACTAGTGATGACGTACCATTACAATGTATCGCTGGTTGGTGGCCATGTTTGCGTGTTTGCTTGTGTGTTAGTGGTCTCTCCACCGTGTGCCTTTTTCTGTCTCTTATTTCTTGTTATTTCGGCCTGGTCCCTTTTTGTCCTCGCTCTTTTTGTTGTTGTTGTAATTACTGTTTCCTTTTATTTTCTTCTCTTTTTCTCTTTTTCTCTCTTTTTCTGTGCCAGATGGCCTTGTCTCTGCATGCGTTGTGAAGTACCAGGATTGAACCAAGGGGGTGTACCTCATTCTCTCCGGCCCGTGATGGTGACTCCTAGTCTCAGTTGTTGTTACCTCGCATAGCGCGCAGAGGGAGTGGAGGACTCCAGAATATCTGTCGTTGATTTCTATTGACTTGCGGACCCCTCGGGGCCATTTTATTTGAGTGTACCTTGTTAAGGGTAAGTTAGCCTGCGACCACGGGAATCGACCGCGTCGAGTGAGTGTTGGATCAGTACGGACATACCAAGGTACTGGGTAGAGAGAGATCGGAACGGTTTTTAATGTGAAGCCAACAACAACAACAACAACAACAACATGGCATACGGCGATTTGTTGGTTCTCCGTCCGTTACACAGCAGCGGACGTATCCATATCCATGCACACATGCGCACATGTACAACACCGCCGTCCTTGCACGTCGGACAACACAGACGAAATGTTATTATTTGCGCTACAGCAACAATGTCGACGTAAACATCCGGGGGGTAAGTCCACAGTCGACCCCGCTTTAAGGACGCTCGCGTTAAGTAAACTCCCCGCTTTATGGGAGCTTGTTTTGCTGAGCACCGGGGCCCGGCAGAATATACGATAGGGGGGTACTAAGTCTTTTCTGCCGCGTACCCCCCTTTTGTGTGCTGCGGGCCACTCTTTGCACGAACCACGCACCACCGTAGTGAGTGCAGAAGTAGCGACGCACAGACAGCACAAGTAGCGAGCGGTCTGCTGCTGCAGCTGCAACTGGGTGTTGGTATGGATAGATTCCTCCCATCTACCGGCGGTACATCTGATGCCGCCAAACAAAGAGTCGTGCATAACCTCCTCCCTCACCGAGGGCGAGGTTATCTCTCGCTTGGAGGACGTTCGATCCTACAGATAGCGCCCGCAGTTAAGAAACGTCAAAATCGGTTCGAGCCTCACCAATCCCTTCTTTTGGGTCGAAGTACCTGCCCAAGTCGTCCATGTCGTAGTGGCATTTCTTCTTCCTTTGGACTGTCGCATCCTCCCGATTCTCTTATAATATCTTAGAATACGTTTTCGTTTTTTTCTGTCTTGATGATTGATCGCTGAGGACAATCCACATTTTTATCAAGCCCTCAAGAGCGGTGGTGGAGAGTGCCATCAAACCCGTACAACAGCGAAGAGCATATGGTTGTCCGCGATGTGGGCAGTACTACATAAAACAGTACAGCACTGTGAACAGCAGGGGCGCGGGGGGGCGAAGGGGGGGGACTCTGCCCCCTACAAAAAATAAATGCACTACTTCTGTTCAGCTTGGTTGTGAGGAGGTTGGGAGCACCGCAGATTTCTGATGTCATGGATGGGGGTATCGCACCATCACGTTTCTTATTGGGGCGTTTCTTACGTTGTGGCCGAGATAGAGCCATGTATCTAAGCCCTTTTTGCTCATTTATTTTTCGTAAAAAGTCGAGCCTTTTTTCTGGCAGAGTTTTTTATTGTCAAGTTGACTGCGGGCGCTATATAATATATATATCTATCTGTACTTGTACGCGTGCGAAGGGAAGGGAGGTGGCGAGTACCTACCGTGAGACGCAGTAGTATACCTTCTTTCTTTCGAAGAAGACCGTTCATCATTCGTTTGTTCATGAAACTCAATAACATGTAAGTGACAGTAGAAATAAGTCCTACATATATATATGTTGTTGTACTTCGTATTGGTTTAATATTCATGTAGAGTATGAGACATTAATTAAGTGAAAGTTTTCTGAGGTACATCTGCAATTAATTGTCGGAAGGCAAAATAAATTAAAAAAATGAGATAAATATGTGTTTACACTTGAACAACTTCCTCCTTCTTCCTCCGCTGCCGGCTATCTATGCAGTACCATTATCTATTTGTTGGCCAAGAACAAACTGGCGTGCTGTATGTTGTTGTTTTGAACATGTCCCCGACTGCTGTTTGTTGTTGTTGTTGTACATCTCATTTCAAGTATTAGTCTATTGTAAATATGTTCGACGTCAACAAACAAACGGTTGCCAGCCGTCTCAGCGATGCTGACTTTTCGTACCACCCCCTTCCTTACTTAGCAAAAGACGCGTAGTTTGAGGTATTATAGCGTGCCTCCATTGGCCCCCGGGATGGTGAGCTATCGTCCCCTGAATTTCAGGGAGGCAACCCCGCTTTAAGGACGCTTTTTTTTGCAGGAAAAACCATGTGCGTCCTTAAAGC